AGGTTTTTAAAGTTATGTTATTTAGGTGGACTGTACTTGAATATATAAGTAGACCTCGTCTGTGTTTTAAATTGTATTTTATTCAAATCAGACTGTGTTATGAGCTGGCGAGAAACAGCTGTTTCACAGTTATGAGCCGCATAAACAGCAATACATTTCACTATTACAAGCCAGTGCATTTTGAGCAGTATTAGATGCCATACTTTCACCCCGTACAAATCTTCAGGTGGCAGAGAATGCTGCAGCGACTAAATTGGCTCTTTTTTTTCTGGGTGAGGTGAAGTGGCAGAGATTGATGACAGGGACTCTCTGTTAGTGAGGGAGAAAATTGGCAAAGCCAGTTCTCCCTTCCCTGCGTGAGGCCTCTCTTATTTAAACTCGTATGTGTCTCTAGGGTCTTTCACTTAAGTTCTGCACTATTTGGATAAAAGTCCTTTCAATCTTTATACCGTTGGACACGCCTCTCATTACTGTCCCCGCCAGCGGCCTTGTCTTGTGTTTTATGTCTCCAGAGTTTAGTTTGGCTGCGTTTGTGTCCCTGTGCTGTTCTCTTCAGCGCCATGGGTTTTACCGTGTTTGTGTCCCTGAACTGTTCTGTTGAGCGTGAAAACTTTCGCTCACTTCATGGCCCTACACTTAATTTTATCGTGTTGACTTTTTATACGGCTGAGTTTTGCTCTGTTTACTGTGGTGTCCTATTAAACAGCATGTTTTGAAGTATGCACTGTGCTGTTTAGCTGTGACTTATTCTTGTGTTTACTGTGCCATGCTGTTTAGCAAAGTGTTTACTGTGCTATGCTGTTTGGTTGTATATTTTACCACTGTGCTGTTTAGCAGTGAGTTTTATTGTGTTTACAGTGCTATGCTGTTTATCAGAGAGTTTTACTGTGTTTACTGTGCTATGGTGTTAAGCAGAGAGTTTCACTTTTTTTACCGTGCTGTGCCATTTAGCAGTAAACTTTACTGTCACATCCTAATCATTATTAATCGTTTTTCCACAATCTGGCTGTCCCCGTCAGTTTCAGTCTCGTTTTCTTTATTGGTTCTCGCTATTCAATTATTGACCTTTCTTTTTATTGGTTCTCATTGTCTATTCATTAAGTTCCAGTCTTTCATCTTCCTCTTTGACTTTGTATTTGGCAGTTTGCTCAGTGTTCCCTTCCTTTGTGCATTCCATTGCTTGTCACCATTTTCTCCTCACCACCTCTCTCCCACCTGAGTTTGTTCCCTCATTGTCTAATGTTGTCTTTGTTTTTTACTACACAGTGTGTCCACTGTACAATATAATTTTGCAGATTGTTTAACTGTGTTTACAGTTAAATGATGTTTTACAGAGAGTTTTTCTCTGTTAATTGCACAGTACTGTTTAACAGGGACTTTACTACACTCTGCTGTATTGCCGAGAGTTTTACTGTGTTTACGGTATCCCTGCAAAAAATGTGCTATAGGAATTCCTATAAATGTGCTATAGGAATCCAATAGAATTCTATACAACTTTAGTACCTCAAGTCCTATAGAAAATCTCCGGAGGACTTTTTTTTCAGTTTGGCATCTTAAATCCCACCCAAATTTGGAAGGCAACCACAAACAAAGCAACCATTTTATATGACATTTCCCAGCTATCGTTGCCCAACTTGCATCTCTGTAGCACAATGACTGCTCATGTGCTACTCTGATCAGGGCTCAAACCCAGACACTTGTGCTCTGCAATGCAGTGCTTTAACCAAGTGAGCCATTCAGAAGCTTGTATATTAATATAAAGATGGTGGGAATAAGTCTCAGCAGACCTCAAATTGTATTCAAATTAATTCTAAATCTGTATATAATCTGCAATCACATGCATGTGAATGGAAAGGCATAATTTGATTGAATTTTTAAAATTAAGGGAAAAGTTCAAAAGGTCAAAATTTCAACGTAATTCTGTCTTCATAAGCAATAGAGGAACACAAGTTTTCCATTATAGCATAATAAAGTTGTAATGCCTTACATTTATATTTTTGAATTGCTGCCGAGGAAATGGAAAGAGGTTTTCATATACTGTAACTGAAATACTGCTAAGTTGTGTGGTCAGTCAGTCAATCAATCGTCTGATCAGAGAATCAATGAGTAGGTATGTGCCTGGTACCCCATGTGCTTAAGCACACTTTAAAGTTAAAAGGGACACAATATCCTTGCTACTTCAGTATAGTGGATATCACTGCATATTGCACATTTTCATACCATTAGTCCGGTTTCTCACTTCTAGAACCCAGGTACACATAAGGTAAATTGACCCTTCGACAGAGCATTGCAAGGATTCATAAGGTTTATTTTTATTTTTATTTAACCCTTATTTAAGATGTCCTCCCCATGAAGCTTTTGTTCTATTAGAAGGTCCTAAAGACCATCAAAGTCCTATAGAACAGGTTTTTCAACTTGGGTGTTCTATAGGAAGGTCTTATAGAACAGCAATAATCTTATAGGACTTTCTTTTCCATAGAGGTGCTCTATAGGTTTCTAGCAAATTCCTATAGAACACATGGAAAATCCTATAGAACATGCTGTTCTACTAAAATGTTCTATAGAGTTCCATTGATGCTCTATAGAGTTCTAGAGAATTCTATAGAATTCCATAGAAGTCCTATTTTTTGCAGGGGTTATACTGTGTACTGTGCTACCGCGAGTTGTACTGTTTCACTGCACTATGCTGTTTGGCGGAGTTTTACTGAGTTTACTGTGCTATGCTGTTTTTCCGAGAGTTTTGCTCTGTTCAATTCACTAAGCTGTTTGGCCGAGAATTTTACTGTGTTTACTGTGCCGTGCTGTTTAGTGTTGCGCAGCAAGAGTTTTACTGTGTTTTTTGTCCCTGTGCCCTTCCTCCTCCTCCTACCCCGCATCCTCCCCCTTTCTACCTTCTCCCTTCGTTCTTACCCTCATAAACCTTTGTGCCTCATCTATGCAAACTATTACTTTCTACTTCAATCTAAAACTGAGAACCTTCTTCACACTTCAAAGAGAAACAGGTCAGGCAATGTCAGTGACTGAAGAACATCAATATTTAAAGTTCAGTACAACCTCAGAGCTATGCTTAGTCATGTCATCCTATTTTATTCCTCGTTTCAATGTATGAAGGTCCACAAAAATCTCGATTGAACTTGTCCTTGTTGAGAACTTTGCTACTTTTTCAGTCCTCCTGTGAAAAAAAAAAAAAAAAAAAAACACAGCTCCATATGATGTCAACAACAGACTTCCCAGATCCCATATAGCCTATACAGTTTCCTGGACCTCATATACAGCACCTTCTGTGGGTTCTGGCATACATGAATGCTTAATTGCGGGCATAATTTTACTAGGTTGTTGGTCATCTTGACAAGACTGAGAAATCAGAACTATCGGTTCTGAATATCGGTTCCACAGATTAATTAGTGGCTAAGACTTAGTCGCACAGTCCGGTTCAAAACCAGTCAGTAGTAATGAATGAATGAATGAATGAATAGAACTTTATTGTCATTGTACAGAGTACAACAAAATTAAGTTAGTACTCCTCGGCATAAATAAAGAAATAAAACCAACAAAAAAACCATCCTATATACACTTTTAACATACACACATACACTAAACATACACACAAACTATATACACCCAATATTCACTTTAACAGCCTAAATACACATGCCCGCCCATATTCATATACCCCCACAGGGACATACATAAATACAACCCCAATTCTGAAATAGTTGGGACGAAGTGTAAATTGTGAATAAAGTCAAAATGCAATGACTTTCAGATCACGAGCCAATATGTTATTTACAGTAGAACATAGATAACATTTCAAATGTTGAAACTGAGACATTTTACATTTTTATCCACAAAATGAGCTTATTTCAAATTTTCTGGCTGCAACAAGTCTCAAAAAAGTTGGGACACAGGCAAAAAAGGGCTGAAATAGCAATTAATATATGAGAATCAGCTCAAAGAACATTTAGCAAGTAAATAAGTTAACTGGCATCAGGTGTGTGACATGATTGGCTATAAAAGGGGTGTCTTAGAGAGGCTGAGTCTCTCAGAAGTAAAGATGGCCAGAGGCTCTCCAACCTGTGAAGGTTTGCGTAAAAAAATTGTGGAATACTTTAAAAACAATGTTCTTCAACGTCAAATTTCAAAGGCTTTGAAGGTCTCATCATCGACAGTGCATAACATCATCAAAAGATTCAGAGAAACTGGAAAAATCTCTGTGCGCAAGGGACAAGGCTGAAGACCTTTACTGGATGCCCGTGATCTTCGGGCCCTCAAACGCCACTGCATCACTCACTGGCATGATTCTGTCATTGATATTACTAAATGGGCCCAGGAATACTTCAAGAAACCACTTTCAGTAAACACAGTCCGCCGTGCCATCCACAGATACCACCTTAAACTGTATCATGCAAAAAGGAAGCCATTGTTGAGCATGATCCAGAAGCGCCACCGTGTACTGTGGGCCAAGGCTCATTTAAAATGGACTATAGCAAAGTGTCCTGTGGTCAAACAAATCCAAATTTGACATTCTTGTTGGAAATCATGGGCGTCGTGTCCTCTGGGCTAAAGAGGAGAAAGACCACCCTTCCTGTTGTCAGCATTCAGTTCAAAAGCCAGCATCTCTTTTTTTTATTTGGCATCTCAAATCCCACCCGAATCTGGAATGCCTAATTGGTGAACTATGTACAAGGCTTGCTCGTATGCGACCCCTTGATGCCAATTCAGGAAAGAGTGTAGACAGTTCACTACTCTCCTCCGAAGCACGCGCCTGTCAGCCACTGCTTCTTATACACTCATTGGTTGAATCTTCGCAAGTTCAGAACGAGGGCAGAGGATACCCAGACATGAACAGGCTTAGAATCTTCCTGACGAGCGCCCATCTGGCCAACAGGAGGCGCTTGAACAATGAAACTATTATTTTCCCTTCCAGGCAGTCCCTTCCCAATTTGCAACCCAGTAGCGCAATAGCCAATTGTGCACCAGTCTGAAAAAGCTGCCGACCGGTACGAGGCGGGAATCGAACCCGCGACGTGATAGTCACTTCTGCTTCACGACGCTTTACCGAGTGAGCTATCCAGCAGCTAAAAGCCAGCATCTATGATGGTATGGGGATGCATTAGTGCATATGGTGTGGGACACTTGCATGTTTTAAAAAGCATCATGAATGCTGAAAGGTATATAAAGGTTTTAGAGCAACATCTGCTCCTCTCCAGATGACATCTATTCCAGGGAAGGCCTTGTGTATTTCAGCAGGACAATACAAAACCACATACTGCAGCTATTACAACAGCATGGCTTTGAAGCAGAAGAGTCCGTGTGCTGAACTGGCCTGCCTGCAGTCCTGATCTTTCACCAATTGGGAACATTTGGCGCATAATTAAATGAAAAGTCAGTGAAAGGAGACCCAAAACTCCCCAGCAGCTGGAAGCCTGTATTAAACAAGAGTGGGATCAAATTCCAATGGCTAAACTCAAGAAACTTGTCTCCTCAATGCCCAGACACCTCCAACTCTGTGTTAAAAAGAAGAGGGGATGCTACACCATGGTAAACAGACCCCTGTCCCAACTTTTTTGAGACCTGTAGCAGCCATCAAATTTGAAATGAGCTCATTTTGTAGATAAATTTGTAAAATTTCTCAGTTTCAACATTTGCTATGTTATCTCTGTTCTATTGTGAATATAATACTGGCTGGTGTGATTTGAAAGTCATTGCGTTTTGATTTTATTCACAATTTACACTTTCTCCCAACTATTTTGGAATTGGGGTTGTACATACACACATAGATCTGCACGTGCACGCATACATTTGCATAAATATACGCCTATGCATATACACATGTAAACACCGTATACACACATATACCATTTTGCATAATGCAGTCCAAAGGGGGTAATCCAAATCTTAATCAAAACACAGTCCACAGGTCGAATGCCGGACAAGAAGACTGCCAAAGCCAGAAGAGATCCAAATCATAAAACCAAAAGATAAATCATCATTGTTTCCAGAATTCAGCAACACATAGAGGGAAAAAAAAGAGGGATTTATGACAACCAAAGGAAACGGGAAGTGATTACAGTTGTGCAGGGAGCAGAAAGTCTAGCGAGCAGCATGGCTACAAACAAGGAAATTAACTACACTAATTGACACACGGAATGGGGAGGGCGAATGTGGGAGTGACGGAGAAAGCAAAAACGTGAAAAAGTAAATGGGTCATGAAAGTACAAAACGGCAATACATAAAATAACAGAAATAATACTAAATACAAGAAATCAAATGAAAAACAATATACACAGATCTTATGCATTGACACATCTTGAAATTACTTCGCAACGTTGCTGCTGGGTGGCATAGTAGCTCACTGTTTTTCTTGTATGTTCTCCCAATTTTTGCGTTTTCTCTAAGAAGGCTGCTCTAGTTTGCTCCTGCAGTCCTAAGATATGTATGTCAGGCTAATTGGAGACTCTAAAATGACCATTGGTGTAAGTCAGTGGTGCCTGATACCAGCAAAGAATTAGCGATGTTGCTGAGCTAGGCTCCAACCACCCCACGACCCTGACCAGGAATAAGCGGGTATGGATGGATGCTTCAGTAGCTGTATTTTTGGCTATATGCATAGCTGATTAAATAGCTGAAAACTGCAAAAAGGCTTGACAGAGCAGCAAGGTCTCTGTGGTTGTTTGTATCACGGAGCACGGCAAGAGGTTTTTCATATTTTAACAACAAATGATCTCAAGTGATTCACACAGTAGTTGGTGGCTATACATCTGTCAGAGTAGGAAATGAATGCCCACGTCACAGTACAAAAAGGTTTGTGTATGTGGCTGACATTTCAGCCATAATGAATAAAAATGAGGCTCAAAACCCCTTTCATTTTAAGAATGAGCCTCTCCAGGGTAGTCTAATTATTGAAAGCACACAGAGACATTTACTTTTGTTTCATAATTACAGGTATTTATAATTTATAAATTGTGTGTCATAAGGACACAGTGTGTTATACAAGCAGCTTGCGGACTCATGTCATTTCCAGTGGTAAAAACAGTATTAATATTCACTTGTATTCATTTCTGAATAAACAAGAATCAACAAATATGACCATCTGCTTATGCATAACATGTTCATGTATTCTGGACCCAAAAAAAAAAAAAAAACGAGAAATCCCATTAAAGCTTAATTTTCTGAAGAAAACATTTTGAATCTAGGCTGAAATGCAAAAGCTCTGGGTGCTCTGCTTGGCCTGTTAGGACATGACAGTGTGACAAATAGTCTCCTCTTTTTGGCTCGAGAGCTCGAAGGTCCTCTATTTCAATTTCCATTCTAATTTCAGAATTAATTTCAGGTGTCACTTGCCATAAAAGCACTTAAAAGCCACAGTGACTTCAGCAAGGCTGTTCCAGCATGTCTGAGAAACAGCAAAGCTTCTCTCTCTCTTTATCTCTCTCTCCTTCTGCTCTCTCTCCCGCCCCCCCTTTTCTCCCTCCGTGTAGGTGCTCTATGCTCTATGCTGTATGTGCATTTGTGTGAGTGTGTATGCCTGCATGTGAGTGCATGTGTGGGCAGGTTTTCCTTCCTCATGTGGGCACCAAATTTGCCCGCAAGTGATGGAATATCAGATTTCTTCATCTTTGGAATTTTTTCTTGTCCCCACAAAGTAAATTTTTACATTTAGGGTGTAAAGTGATTAGGATTTGGCATGTAGTGTTTATGGGTAAGGCCAGGGTAGGGTTTAGGGACCGAATCTAAGACTATGGGATGTCCCCACAAAAGAAGACACAGCATCTGTGTGTGTGTGTGTGTGTGTGTGTGTGCGCGTATGTCTGTGCATACATGTATGTGTATGTGTGCATGTGTGCGCGTGTGTGTGTGTAATCTGCATGTTGAAGGGGCCACAATTACGGCGGTGGATGAATACCATTAATTAGGATGATGAATTGAACTGTTCAGAAAAGCTCATCTTTTCCTAATTTGATAATATGGAAAGCTTTTTAACTGGAGGTGCTATCATGTGATTAAAGTCTCTAAAGTTTGTAATAAAACTATTTCAGTGGTTATATTTCAAAATTCAGATTATTGGATTAAAAAAAACCTGACTTGGGGCACCCGTGGCACATCGGTCTAAGTGCGCGCACCATAAAGGCTGTGTCCTTCCAGCAGCGACCCGGTTCGATTCTGGCTCGGGTCATTCGCTGCATATCTTCCCCACTCTTCTCCCCAAAGAACTTTCCTGTCTCTCTGCTGAATATCTGTCTAATAAAGGAGAAAATCCCCAAAAAAAAAATCTTAAAATAAAAAAACCTGACTCTGATAGTTACTATTGTTTGACTATGTATGGAACCTTTTTCTGCAAGTATGAAGCTTTCAGTCAAAACTCGAGTTCAAGAAAAGGGCACTTCTTTCAAAATATTTAATCAAGAGTAAAGAAGTAGTGTGGAGGGGGGAAAAAAGCAAAAGTGTGGCTTATGAATCACGGCGGTTACCCACTAAAAGCATTCATTAGATGGCAATGTCCTTGTGCGATTTCACTTGCCAGTCTATCATTTAGTCAATTAAAAAACTGCTTTCTAAAGGAATCGTTTGCCTTGGAACACATTGCAGAAAATGAAGGCATTAGTTGTCTGGGAGCTGATCTGACTGATTAAAAGCCATGGAATGTGAATGATCAACATTCATTTTAATGGCATGCATATATATTTCTGACATAATGTGGTCATAATGTGGTAAATTGTCCCTCAGCACACAATGAAAGTGTCTAATTAAGAACAATTAACAACTCATTACAATTCAGGAGTTGCAGTAATGGTTGGAACAAAAATGGCATACACGACCCTGGCTTTGCACCAAGTCCAGGAAGCCCTGCCATAAATATTTACTCTCACACACTAGTGCAGAGAACCTCTCTCTGTTTGTGTCCCAGGGGACACAGTCGTATTTCCAATGTGGTTGTAGCTTTGAAGAGCCAAACACCATAAATACAATACAGAACCATTTTACATTGTATATTTATGCAAACATTCCTGGAGATTTTATAATTCAAACAAAATTACAACGTAAGCCACAATAAGCTATTATTTCAACCTAGGAGTCATTAGAACAATAAGTCCTCAAAAATGACTTAACCACATTTTTCTCTGCAATTTGAATGGTGCTGCTTTGTCGGAGATATCATTGTCACGAGTTCTGCTTTTGATTCAGGGAAGCAAAGACTAGCACATCCTTGATTTTAAGCGCCCACCTTTTATCACACAGCGCAAATCACTTTGCAAAGCATGCACCTGGGGACATTTCAGGTGAAATTAACAGGCAGACTTGTAGTGGCCTGATTGACCTGCAGGGGCCAGTGTTGTGCAGTGGGATGTAGTCATCTCTGTTGACTAGAGCCCTCCCATCCCTGGTCAGTGCAGGAGCCAGTTATGCAATTAACAGGGTGAGCTACCCGGCAGTTTCAGTCCTTAGCTGCATTTCGTTACACCTCTCATACGGCTCTAAATTGAATTTCAAGCTATGGAACTGAATTGAAATTGATTTGCAGTGCAGAACAGCTGAGGGACTTATCTGATTTTAAACTGCTATGTATGCGACCACCAATAAGCCGCAGTTCCTGACTGCAGAGAGGAATTAACAATATAAGATTTGAACGGACCCTGCGAGTATGACAATTATTTGCAATGACATGCTTTATGTTATAAAGCAAAGCCTTAAATTCATTCCTAAATATCATAACAAGTATGGTAAAATTATCTTGGGACTGGAGCAATGTGTCCTGAGCTGCATTTTCTGTTTAGAAAAAATCTTATCCGTGTTTTGAAATGACTATTTCTGCCCAACTGAGAAACTAATCAAGCTAGCGGACTGAACTTGGAGCTTCAATTTGACAGCAGTTCTTTGAAAGTTTGAGTGTACAGCCACGGGGAGATTTTTCAGGTCACAGGTCGTGTTTTCATTTGAATGGCAGCCCCAGTACCCCACCCGTGAACTCTTCTGGCACCGCTGTAATGACAGGCGTGTAATTGTCGATCCAGCTACGCCCGTCAGCATTCTCCTCGGCAGTCTGCCTGGCGCACTGCTTCACTTCAGTGCCCCGCG